AAAAAAAAAAAAAAAAGTGCTCCTCAACTGGACCCTAAAAGCCTGTATTCTTAGGGATAAGTAAGCTCCCTCCCCCACTCCTACCCCCTGCAGAAGAGATGTATTATCATAGAATTATAAAACAACTATATTCACTATATTTAAAGAAATAAAAGGAAAACTTTGTGATATCTGCATGAAGCAGATTACAAAGTTCTGAAAAAGTCAAAAGAACTTCTAGAGTTGAAAAATATAATGTGGAAATTAAAAGCTTAATGGATGGGTTGTTAACTAGAAAGTAAATAAGTAAATATTACCCAGCATATAGCGTAAGAAACTTTAAGAGATTAAATGTGGAAGAAAGATCATGAGAAATGGAGAATAGAGTGAAAGGATCTAACATCGCTTTAATTGGAGTTACAGAATGAGAGTAGAACAAATATGAAACAGGTGATATTTGACAAGATAATAGTTGATAATATTCCAGAACTGATGTAAGACACTAATTTGCAGTTTCAAGAAATCCAACAAATTTCAAGCTGAATACATTAAAAAAAAAAAAAAAAAACCACTCATCTAAATACATTACAGAAAAACTTCAGAACACCAAAGACAAAAAGAAAAATCTTTAAAATAGAGAAACAATAGACTATCTTCAAAGACACAGAAGTTACACTGACAGTTGAACTCCCAATAGTAACTGTGGAAACCAGTAGAGTGACATCCTTAATGTTATGAAGGACAGTAACTGCCTACCTAATATTCTAAACCAAGTAAAAATATATATTCAGCATGAGAGCTAATTAAAGACATTCTGGGTCAAAAGAGAATGTGCTGTCAGCACATCTTCGTAGAAGAAAGTATAAAGGATATACTTTATGCAGAAGGAAGTTCACTATAGATGCAAAGTCTGAGAAGCAGAAAGGATTGAAGAGCAAAGAAAGTAAATATGTGAAAGGACAAGCCACAAACCAGGAGAAAATACTGCTATATGTCTAAATAACAAGGACTAGTGTGGTAGTTAGGTTGTGTGTCAGTTTGGCTGGGCCTGCTTTGGAGTGGCTGGGCAGCTGGATGTAGTTATTTCCCATGATGAGACTGGTAATTAACTCCACGGTGGAATCTACTGTGATCAGCTAAGTAGCTAACTTAGGGATGTGGTCTGCTTCCAGTATATAAAAGGGAGCTTTGAGAAAGGTCTGGAGCTTTTTGGCACACCTGGATCCTGCGTTTGGCCAAGTCTTCATCTCAGTGGCCTGCCATGTTGTCTGCCAATCTTGAGACTGTTTCTGGACTTGAACTAGTGGCCTGCTGTGTTGCTTGATAATTTTAGGACTGTGCCATTTTACTTATCGGCTTTGGGTTTGTCATACTCGCATTTGTCATCCTCAGCAGCCAGCAGCTGTCTAAGAGAAGCCTCTAGAGTCAGTGGGCCAGGAGTAAGGGGCAGAGCTGAAGCCCAAGGTCAAGGGGCTTTCACCCAGCCCCTAGAGCTGGCACTTTGAACTCAGACTTCTAGCCTCCTAAACTACTCTTGTAGTATAAATGAATCTCTGTTTGTTAAAGTCATATTGTTGTTGTTGTTATGTGCCGTCAAGTCGGACCTGACTCATAGTGACCCTTCCTTGGGTTTCTGAGGCAGTATCTCTACGAAAGTAGATTGCCTCATCTTCCTTCCGAGGAGTGGCTGGTGGGTTTGAACTGCCAGCCTTCTGGTTAGCAGTCAAGTGCCTTAGGCACTATGCCACCAGAGCTCCCTGTTAAAGTCATACACCTGTGGTATTCCTGTTAGAGTGGCACAAGAGAACCAAAACAACTAATATCCAGAATGTATAAAGAGTCAAAAGACACAACCCAGTAGAATAGCAGTTCTGAAACTTTTATCTCATCCACCATTGTACTCTTAAAAATTGTTAAGGACCCCAATGAGCTTTCGTTTGTATGGCTTACTTCTATCAATATTTATTGTATTAGAAATTAAAACTGAGAAAATCTTAAATGTTTATTTATTAAAATAACAATAATAAGCCCAAATATATTAACATAAATATAAATAATATTTTAAATAATAACTTTAGAAAAAACTGAGAAGAGTTACATTGGTTT